GCATTAAAGATCAACCAAAGTTGGAATATTATAAAATATTACCTAAACTAAATCAGTGAGTAAATATAAAGAAGAAGACGTTATACAATCAATAAAAAAAGACTCGTTTTATTTTATTTCCTTGTACAATATAGCAAAGTGACTTAAAAACGGCAATAATAAAATTGTCCATTATAAAAACAAAACGGTAAACAACGATGTTCCACACTTCCACGATAGAAAGTACATTGACAGAWTACGATTCATGGTGGTGGGGATGGATATGTTCGGCAAACACGACTTCCTAGGTGGACACACAAGTCACTACAAAAACGTAGTGCGCAGACCAACGGACATCAGTCGAATGCATTTCATTTGAATCGAATCACAATGAAGACATTTTTCAATATGACGTGCGTTATTGGGTTGTGCGCATCCGCAATGGGCGCAGCAAACCAGCATGAAGCAAATATCTTCGACACCGGCTATGGATACGGTTCGGGTTTCGATCAGCACGAGCCGTCCAATACTCAGCAAATATTCCAAGAGCACCATTATCAACAAGTGCTGTCCAAAACCATCATCAAGGTCGTGGCCCAACCGTACCCGGTCGAGGTTGAGAAACACGTACCGTACCCGGTTAAGGTTGAAGTACCCGTCGACCGYCCATACCCGGTGCACGTGCCCAAGCCTTATCCCGTGCACGTCGAAAAGCCTGTTCCTTACGAAGTCAAAGTGAAGGTACCCCAACCGCACACAGTCTACAAACACGTGCCTTATGAAGTCAAGGTACCCGTCGACAAACCATACACCGTCCACGTGCCTAAACCGTACGCTGTGTATGTAGAGAAGCGCGTCCCATACGATGTCATCAAGCACGTACCTTATCCCGTCAAGGTACCCGTCGACAAACCGTACACCGTATATGTACCGGTAACGAAACACGTACCGTACGCTGTCGAGAAGCCAGTGCCCTATACGATCAACGTGCCGGTTGACCGTCCTTACCAGGTTACCGTCGAGAAGCTCATACCATACCCTGTCGACAAACCCGTACTGTACACCGTCGAGAAACCAGTGCCCTACCCGGTCAAAGTCCCGGTCAAAGTTGAAGTGCCAGTGCCATACAAAGAATACAAACACGATGAAAAATACTCTCCGGAAACAAAATACGAGGAAGTACAATCACAATATGCCAATGATCAAAACAAACATGGCAGTCATTGATAAATGTGTCATATTTTTCTAGTCGTAATRTTCATGTTATATTTCTGATTAAATAAATTGTAACCTAAGTCATATATCTAATATTAAGATATGTTCGTTAAATGCAAGTATCACATATTATTGTACTATATTAAGATAATTAATTTAAATAAAGACTTATTTATATTTTTGTATTTTTATTTCATACAACTGCCATAGATATATAAAATATGTATTACCCATTGTATTTTAACAGATATTACCAGAAAAAATGTTTATGTGTGAAAATGATTTATCTTGTCGAAAAATTATTTTTAATTCAATAAGAAATAAAACTATGAATAAAAATAAATAAAATTACCTTGCTATAAGAAACAGTATTTTCAGGTATTAGGTACTAGGTAAAATAAATGG